GCAACTTAACGCCTGTTTAACTAGGAAAATGCCACCTCTAAAAATCCCAAATTAGTGATTCCTCTAATTCGACCACTCTCCCATCAGATGGCATCAAAAAAAATGGGGGTCCAAAAAAACTGTGCCAAGCTATAATGGGGACTGTTCAGTGACTCGCGGACGGCCTTTAAATGTATTTTCGAATATTATTATTATTTTAAAAGTAGCTTTAAAGTAATTTATATGCATATTCCATAATTCGGTTAACTTTTCGATTAATTACCTAGACTCTCCCCTGGGGTTTGACACCCCGTTGTGCCCTCCGGCATTTCAGTGAGTGATTGGCGGTTTTGGCGGCTCCTCTCTCTCTCCCTCTCTCTCTCTCTCTCTTGTCTATATTTTGGACTTATCGACGCCTCACCCCCTAGCTCGTGATGATGAAGATGAATTGGGTGTTGAGCGTTTTTTGGAGAGGGGAACACCTGAGAAAAATCGGGCCATATTGGCCTTCCCTGGTCCTTGAAAACCGGGAATTCTGCTTATTATATCACATTATTATACTACCGTAATGCTATCCCCACGACATTCGATTGCTCAACTCCTTGGCGCACAGTGTGTTTTCCTTTAGACGAAGGAGCCATCGTCAAACCAGAAAAATTTTTGATATTGAAAAATTTCCGAAACACAATTTTTTAACTCAAAATTTTTCTGCGGTTTTTTTAAAATTTAATGACCTAAATGCTCAGTAATATCCTTACAAGCTCCAGTAAAAATATATAGAAAAATCTAGGAGGTAAAATTGGTAAATTAAAATTTTAAAATCAGCAATCAAAGTGTAGGAAAGACATCAAGGTTGTTTTGAATCAGGTTTTATTTGAATCTCGCTAAAAGGTGTATAACGGTAAATTTAAAAACAAATAAATAAATAAAGGGAAGGGGAAAATTGGTATAAACTTGGCCGTTTAATACGGTACCCGGGAACGCGACAAGTATTAAAAAGGCTCAAAAATGCTTAAAAATGGTGTTGCTGGGTCTTTTTAGAATTTTTTGGGATTGGTAAACTCACCTCAATTCTGTCCTAATAAATTAAATATTCCGCTATTTCTACCATCCTTACTATATTTTATATTTCCCCTATATTCATTAAATCGACGAACGCGAGGTGATCATTTGTAAATTTGAGAATTTGTGAGCTCTGCGGAATGAGGTCAAAATCTGCCCTTCGGTATCGGATTTCAAGAAAACACCTTTTTCTCCCGAAAACACTTTAAAAAATGTGTTTTAAGCAAACCACAACAATAAAAAGCGCATTTAGCCAATAGTAAAAACAACTTGAATTCCATCATAATTAAATTCTAGTCACAAGTCGGTAGTTAAATACCACGAAAAATTCTCTAAAGAATGTTTCGCTATTTGAACTGTATTAAGACGAAATTCTCAAGCTAATGCGGCCATGGTCGCGACGGCGTAAAACACAAAAATTTGTTTCACGACTACAATGTATTTAGAGTAAAATCAACAAGATAATATGGATCGCGGTGCAACTCGCAAAAGCTTAAAAAACATTAAGTTAAGCGTCTCCCTTAATACGTTTCAAAAATACTTAATTTAAGTTCTTAAACCATCTCCAACAAGTCCACCACAACTTCAACAAGTTCAAAGAATCCCCAGAAAAATCCCCCCAGGCTCCAGGCTTTTCGAGGTGGCCGATGAAAAGCCAAGGCTAAGAGCCAGGCAAGCCTTTAGAAATTGGCAAAAAGGAACGGCCGTTTTGAAGCTTGGAAAAAGCCAAAAGCCCGCCAAAAAAGGGGGAAAGCCGCAGAAATTCGTGAAGCTTGAAAACAGCGGGATGCCCCGGCCTTTTGGGGGCAATCAGACTGGCCTCTAGACGGAAAAACGCTAGAGAAAAAATTTGAACCGGAAATGGTGCGATTTTCCGGGTGGCTAGAAGCGCTTCTGGCTGACTGCCAAGACTCTAGAAGCCTAAGGAAAAACAGGGTAAAGCTGCTCGAAAATTGGGCGGAAATGCGCGGAAAAAGGTAAACAGCTAATTAAAAAAATCCGCGCAGGCCATCAGCTAGGATTTAATATGAAGCTTATTTTTGCATAAATGAACTATGTATTTAACGAATTAAACAAGCTAAAAAAGGAATAAAACCACAGTGGTACCAAGAACGAACATCAATAATACCATGTAAATACGGCCACGCTAGGCTATGACTTGAAAAACATTTTTTAACAACGCAAACCCCTACCTATTCAAGATCGCAAATATGGTTTAATTAAAATATAAATTAATTAAAAATCCGAAATACGACTCGATTTTTTCTTTGGGAAATTATGTGCTTATGCTTTATTACAGCTATTTTACGAATTAAAATTTTTTTGCGATTCTAAAATTATTTATTCTAAAATTTCCAGAATTTGGTTTTTTATTAGACATTTAAGCCGTTCCAAAGATATTTGCCAGTAGTAAAATAATTTATAATCAATTTTTTTGAAAGCTCTTAACATTTAGAAAAAACGATCAGTATTTTCCGATTTTATTAGCTATTTTCCCCTCTAAAACCCTCCAATACTCCATTTTTCCATTTTTCAGCCACGTCAGTTGCCTAAACACGGCCTAGAAATCCTATTTCCGCAAATTTCATCACATTGGCACGTTGCCAAAATTCGCAATATTGCCAAAAATGCATTTATTTCGCGGCCCCTCGAGATGGACCTCAAGAACATCCCCAGGTGTGTGGATTTCCGCCCGTCAATTGGATGGAAAGGGAATCGAATGGAAAAGGAACTCCTCTAGACGAGAGAGAGAGAGAGAGAGAGAGAGAGACAGACAGAGAGAGAGAGATCCGATGAAGGTGGCACTCCTGGGAGTGAGAGCGAATTCATCTTGTGAAGACTAGTGCTCAAAAAAAAGAGGGAAAAGCCCCGAGAATACGAAGAAAAATTTGGAAACGCGAGGCAACGGAAAAGCGAGGAGGAGCCGGGAAGTGTTTTCGAAACATCCGGTGCTCGGACCAATTGAATCGGTGAAAAGAGTTTGATGAAAAATGCGGGAATTTTGTATGTTGCAGCTCAAAAATATGAGAAAATAAGTGGTGAGCTTATTAATGAACAGTCTTGGGCAGATTTCAACAGTGGGCGAAACACCAAAATTTTATACCTAAAAATTAAAATTGGCTATACCTATTAAAAAAATACCTACATTATTTATTGAAAAAAGTTTAGTACATATAAAAATATATAACATGTAAATATAAGACTCTAAGATAAACTCTCATTATAAAGTACCGAAGAACAAAAATCAAATGGATGGAAAGAAAATTGAAAGAAAAGGATCGACACCGATAGCATAACTAGATGAAACACACTTTTTGCAAAAAAAAATTGAAAATCTTCTTTTTTTTTCATGGAATCCGTTTGATATTAATTAGATGAAAATTAAATGAAGTAGTATTGAACGATTATACTAGTTATAACGTTAACACAAAATTCATCCCTATTTCCGGATTCCGGAAGTGACCAAATCGGGCTGAAGAATTGGTCATTATTATTTGGCGAGAGATGGAGAGAGAGAGAGCGCTAGAGAGCGAGTGAGTGAGAGAGAGGGAGAGGGAAACAGAGATACAGAGTCATCCTAATTATCGCGTACACAACCCAGCTAATTCGGCTCTCAAAATTCACCCCCAAAATTCCAATTTTCACGGCCGTTGGCCCCAAAAGCCCAAGCCAAAAAAGGCGTGAAATTTCTGGGGGGTGACCCCATCCCCAGGGCTCGTTTTCCGGCTAATCCGCACCACCCCAAGAAGCCGAAAGATCCGGAAGCGCTGTTTTCACAGCAGCATCTTCGGCGGCGGCTTCTCCTCCTCGATCTTCGCAGGGGAAAACAGACGAGAAGAGCCGAGGAGTTCGACTCGTTTTTCGCGAATTTTCCCCCTTCACACGCCCCCAAATTTTGACGCCCGGGGGGCAGGAAAGCGTGTGTGTGGTGGGGCGTTCCAGTTGGCTTCTTCCTGCTTCTCCTTCTCAAGGCCTCTTTCCGGCCAGTCAAAACGCGACACCTGGCCTGGGTTGGGTTGAGTTTTCCGGCGGCCAATCGCACGTCCAGAGGGTATTGCGGCGGAATCCAACATTTTTGGGATCGATTCCGGGGTTGGCCGGATCGCTTCCGGAACGTTACTAATCACTTATCCCTGGATCGATTCCGGAGTGCTCCAATTTACGGTCTTCTGGAAGTGCTGTATTCCCGAAACGCTACAATTTCCGGTCTTCCGGAAGCGGTTTCTACTCCGGAAGGCTCCAAATTACGGAGGTCCGACACTGATTGCTATTCCGGAAAGCTACAATTTACGGTGCTCCGGAAGCTATTCTGATTCCGGTACGCTACAAGTTACGTCTTCCGGAAGTTCCCGATCAGGAAATTCCGGAAAGCCCCTATATTCTGCCATTCTCCGCAAAGGCATTGTCTCACCCAAGGAAACCCGATCCGCCAAAACGCCAGAAACATAGATTTTCCTGGGTGGGCTGGAGGGTGTTACTTGAGAAGAATAAGAGGAAGAAAGAGAAGAAGCCGAACACCGAGATCAACCCGGACAAGGAATTCGACATTTTTTCGCTGTTTTTGCAGATTTAAGGCTATTATTACACCTTAAAATAAGCCAAAAAATTCCAGCAAATGCTGGACGACGAGAATTAAGGAAGGTAGAAGGTATTTAAGAATTTGCTCGAGAAAATCTGCTATTTTCTATCCTATATTTATTCGAAATCTACTTAAAATTCGCTATATATTTGTCTTCAACGGCCCTTGAAATCACGACCGAAGTTATTTTGGGATCTACCGGACCCGAAAAAAATTTCCGAACTACTGATTTTTTCGAAACATTTGATTTTTACCTCGCATTTGACTAGCCTAAAAATCGCCCAGCAACACCATTTCCGGCTCGAAATTTTGTGGAGAAGCCGAATTTAAGCTTTAAAATATTTGAAAACTATAAAAACTATCGAAAATTGACCGGGGAATGGCGATCGCCATCTCGCAGGCCGTGCTGCAGCACCGCGGCAGCGTCGTGGTCCGGTGCCGGGGCCCCCGACGTCCACATGAGATTCTGGCGTTTCAGGGTCACCGGCAACATGATCTCCGGGTGAGTGTATGCAATCGTTACGCCAGTACTGGCGTAGCGCCGTCATTAGGGTGCCGAGCGGAATGCGGTTTTTTGGGGTCTAAACGATTATCGAAATTGGGGGAAATTGAGATCAAATTAATTTGTATTTCTTTAAGCTTAGATAACTTGAAAATTGGTATAGAAAATCTAGAATTTTATCTTGAGCAATCCAGCTTTCACAAAAATTTAGGCTAGCGGTTTTCCCCAAAAAAAATATGTTGCGAAAAACTTAAACATTTTGCGGTTTTCCAAAAAATTAATTGGATGATGTTTTTCGTGGTTTGTATAAATCTTCAAATAGCTTCGCAATTTATTTATTACGTAAGAATTAAACAGAAGTTTTAACCAAAAGAAAATCGCGCTTCGCGAAAATTGCATCTTTGCGTGTTTTTTGCAGCTAATCCAGGAGTGCCATCGACATAATTTAATATATAGTTTTAGAAAAAAAAGGTTGTTTTACAATTTAGATAAGAGCGTTTTATTAAATTAAGTAAATTAATTTGTTAAATAAGCAATATTCTAAATTAGTTTCCAAGAATTGTCCTATTTTTTCTGAGAATATGTTTCAAAAAATTTTAGTAAAAAAGGAAAGGCCGGCGTCTAATTCGATTTTGGTCGTAGGTGGTTTGCACCATTTCCAAGTTTCCTCTATTCGCACAATTTCCGGGTGAAGCTCCTATCGTAATCTATCTGTTTCATATGATTCTTAAATCGGTATTGAAAAATTTAAATATTTCCGCATTCCGCACCGAGGTAAGTGTTTCAAAAATTTATGTTATGCTTACAATTGGGGTACCTTAATAGTTTCTTTACTCCGCGATTTTTGGCTTTCATTAAGCGTTTTCTAGCTTTTCTTTTTTATCTAGTTTAGTTAATGCTTCAAAGAGGTGTATTTTAATCTTTTAATATTTTGGGGTTTTAAGCCTTTTCTTAAGCTGCTTGTAGCACCCTAAATTTTTGGGGTAAAGCTGGATCGAATCCACCCAATTTCAAGCCCGGTTCCTGCTCCTTTAAACGATACCAGATGCGCGCACTGGTGGCATTGATTTTTGGGGACATTCGCACTTAAACCTACGTGTATTGTAGCTATGAAAATTTTTCCAAACATCGATTTTCAGAAAAATTGTTAAGTTTTGAGTTGAATGGGCGCTATGCTCAAGACCTTATTCCAGTTTAAAAACGCGCGTGGGTAACTCGGTTAGATGAAACATTTAATCTTCAAAATCTTGGAAAATTCAAATATTCAGGTATGGTTTCCTAGTCGATGCGTAGAGTCCAGTATCGCGTTCAAAAAATTCGTAACTTTGTGACTTTGTGAAACTTTTAATTTCTAAATTATACATAGTTTTTGCGTTAATTCTAAATAATCTTCGATCTTCGATTTACTTTAGATGAAAGATTTCATTTTCGACAAATTTTTTCTAACGTTAGCAAAGTTCGTAATTTTGGGGGTAGCACTAGAACGCGACGAAAATTTATAGGCTGTATCGAATCGTAGAATAATAATAATTGATTAAGTAATTTTTATATTTAAGAAGAGCCAGAATAGCCGATTATTCTGAAACAATTTTCGGGAATTTTGAAATTTTATAAAACATCTTCATTTATGGGAGTGTGCTAGAACTTACTAGGGATTAAAGGCGTAGCATAGCAATCGATAAGATGCAGAAATTCCTGAATTAAATCTGTATTAAATTATTAAACTCGCTTTAGCGCAGCGCAGCAGCACAAAAAGCGGCTGATCCCGTTGCGGCGGACGGACGCGATGGCGCACGCCGAGCGGAAAAACGCCAAAATTATGGAGGACATTTGGAAGAATGGCGGATCCGACGTGTTTCAGGTGAGTCCATTTTTTTAAGGTATTGAATCCAAAAAATGTAGCAGAAAAGTTAATAATATGACGCCTACACTGGTCGGATTGTTCGCCATTTAACACCGCTATCTTTCAATTATTGTGAAAAATCATATTTCTAACAAAAATTAAAAGTTCCTCAAAAAAGGCTACGAGAGATAGGAAATGAATAAAAACGCCAAGAAATTATCCTGTTCAAATTATCATTATCGCGCTAAGTTTTGAAACTTTGGTTTTAATTTCGGAAAATGCCTTGGGGTGATTTAAACAAATGCGAAATTTTATCTATGAAAAGTTATTTTTTGCACTAAAAAATAATTTAAAATTAAAAAATAATTTAAAATAAATTCAGTTAAAAATCTATTGAAAAATTCAAGCGAAGCATTAATTAACAGCGCCATCCATCGACCCATCAACCTATTGCGTTCAGCAAAACCCTCGGTTCCTCAAATATAACTGAAACATTTTATAGGAGTATCAGGGTAACCCGGAAAAATCAATGACCTCCGTAAAAACAACGCTCTATTATGAACAAAAAGGCGTCAAAAGCTTTGAATTTGCCCGAAACCATTTCTTCCCTTATGTCGAATACGATTTTTAGTCAAAGCAGTTAGCGGAGCACTGATAATTTATCAAAGACCAATTAATTCACGACTATTGGGACATTGCAGTAGCATAAAAATTGTATCGAAAAATCCACATGGTTTTTTTTGAAAAATGTTGTTTTGAAACTGGTCCTAGTTAGGTCAATTGATGGCCTATTAATGATGTGTTCCGCTGTCTCAGAACTATGTAATGGTCTCGATTTTTCGCATTATTTAGTATCGAAAGTTAAAACAGCAGTCCAGCCAATTCTGGCGAATTCCACAGGACCTATTCCAAAAACTGTAGCTAAAAAATTCGCATTATTGACACTTTGATGAAACATAGTAATCGCATAACACTCTGAAGCACTTTTTTTGTAAAATATTTTCAAAACTTAAGCCATACAAACAAATTCTAACTTCAATAATTGGGATTGGGAAAGTTGGCGTTAAAATTACGCGTTTAATGCTGTTAATCAATAACTAATTAAATCTCGATTCAGTTGATAGCGCCGGGCGGGCTCGGGCCCGACGGGGAGCCCTGTTTTTGCGGCTCAACATTGGCGGTGTCAAGTGGGTTTTATTAAAATTATTTTATATTCAATCCTGCTTAAAAAGGTTTAGAATGCCTAAAGTCAAGGGTATAATTTAAAATACCCTCTTCAGATACATGATCCTCGTCGACGCGCTTTTAAGAGCGGAAAATACTACGTTTTTGACAAAGTTCGTCCAGCTCACCCATCCCTCCAGGCTTAAGGTACGGAGCATTAAAAATAACGAGTTAAAAATCTACTTATTCTGCGATGATTTTCTATCAAAAATTTATTTATTTTGTTTAGGGCTTAAGAAGAGTTTATAATTTAAGGAGATGGCTAAAGGAGTCCGTTCACTAGAGTATGAAATTTCGCGTTTAAACTTTTCAAAAACGAAACATATTTTTCTCTCAAATTTTTTTCTGGTGATGAAAATGTATACATCGCGCTAAAAAAAACTTTTAAACCAATCTGCTTGTAATAAAAAATTTGGGAGGACTTCATACAATTATTTTTGAAAACTTCGCACTTAGCATTTTTCTTAAAACATTTTTTCTTCGAGTCTAGGAATGCATCGCTGATGGAAATGGAAGGTGCATTACAAGAAACTAATAAAATTTGATATACGTGAAAAATTTAAACGGTTTGAATATCAGATAAATTACCAAAATAAAATTCAGATTGCCGACGCGTACATGCCCGGCGACGACGCCTACTTTTTTCAGCGCAGCCCCGTGGCCTTTGAGGCCATTTATCAGGTCTGCAAAACCGAGAATATATTGGTAGCAAAAATTTTGCAACTTTTAATTTATGAAATATCTTTTTATCTCACAAATTTCAAGCAAGAGGGAACGGCAATTTTAATAAATCTTAAATTTATCTTAAAAGGTATCTACAACGTATTAAAAGTAGTAGCCATCTTTCTTTAAAAATTTCCAATTCACTAAATTTTTAATTTTCCGAAGCGCGATCAATTAAACACAAAATTAAATTAATTTAAACAAATAATTACCAAAAATTATTTTTGCACAAATTCTTAAGTTTTTAAAGTTGTATGAAACATGTTTTTTCAAAACTAACAAATGAAAAATGGTAGTTTTGGTGTATCATTTGCTAGTTAAGCCAGTAAAGCTAAACATATTTAATCTTTACAGTACTACGCCACCGGTGTCATCCACCGTCCCTCCGAGGTGTGCCCGGCCTCCTTTCTGTCCGAGCTCGACTTTTGGCGGATATCCCATCAACACGTCGGGTCGTGTTGTGCGGATATTGTCCCGAGGGAGAAGCCCGAGGAGAAGGAGGAGGAAAAGGTGAGCATGAGGCTATACAAAATTTAATTTAAAATATTAAGGCTCAAAAAGTGGAAAAGAAAGTTTTAGATTAATTTTGAAACCTCGCAAAACTCGAATGTTTCATAAAATTGAGCCAGTCAAACGGTGGGATTCCTATTAATACTTTGCTCAAATTTTCTTCAATTTTACGCAATTCCCAAACAAGCATTTTTCAAAAAAAAAATTAAGAAACGTTTCAGCAAAATAACTTAGTTTTTTTAGTGCGTAGTCGGGCCAACGCCCTATCAAATTTCCGGGAAAATAACCAGAGGCTTAATCGCCATAGCAAAAAATTCTAGTAATTAAATGTTTCATAAATTTTCAATCAAACGTAAAAAGCTGGACGCTCAATTCTAGATCGTATTGATCGTATTCACTGAGTTTGTGCAAAACTTAGGTTTCATAAAATCAAGGTAATCATGAGCAATAAAGGGGCTTATTGGAATAGGCTCCGATGATCGTTCTCATCTCTCAGGTGGACGACCACACGTTCGACGAACTGATGTGCGGGAAATTGCGGAGAAGGATGTGGACGTTTTTGGAAAGACCGGGGAGTTCGATGCAAGCAAAAGCGTTTGAGCTGTCGTCGACGCTGTTTGTGATGATATCCGTGATGGGGCTGTCGTTCGGAACGATACCCGAGATGCAGGTGAGAAAATGAGAGCGAGAGAGAGATATTTAGGCTCATTTTGAGTCTTTTTCCTAGCAGCCAAAAATGGTTTTCCAGTTTTCCAGAAAAATTGACTTTCAAAAAATAAGATGGAGGGCCGAAAATTGGACACTTTAATTCAGAGATTGTTTCAGTCGGAAAACAGCAGGCTAGCAGAGATCATTTGGGATGAGAGAGAGGGGGGAGGGGGCAGGCTAGCAGAGATCATTTGGGATGTGAGAGGGGAGGCGCAGGCTGGCAGAGATCATTTGGGAAATCTCGATTTTTAGGTCACCCAATATATGCCCCCTCACAACGAGACAGTCGTGCTCCCCAACGGCACCGTCACGATCGTCGAAAAAGTGGAAGAAATGAAGGTGGAGCACTCGGCTTTTGTGTTCACGGAACGGACGTGTATCGCCTTTTTTACAGTGGAATATTGTCTCAGGTGAGCATACGGAAAAACTATCCTAATTAACGCTGAGGCAGATTTAATCAATGCCTAAATAAATTTCTTTGTTATTTTTTAGTCGTTTTAGGGACAATGAGAAACATTAATGGTAAGATTCCAGTCCGATATTTATTTATGTTCAACAAAACTTTTTTCCGAAAAATGTTTCAGAAAAGTTGGGCTTTAATTTCCGAAAGGCATTGGGACTATCGGGACGCTACGATGACAAAAATCAAACCCAAACTGTTCAAATTTCAGATTTTTCGCGGCGCCTCGAAAACTGCGCTTCGCGCTGAAGCCGCTGAACGTCGTCGACTTGCTGTCAATTGTGCCCTTCTACTTGGAGTTGCTATTGACGCTATTCGGCGCCGATGAGAAGAAGCTGCGAGATTTGCGATGGGCCTTCCTGGTCGTCAGGATATTGAGGGTACGCTTTATATGTCTTCTCTTAAGGGAATGTTTAGGGCAAATGGCCATAAAAATGTTTCATAAAAAATTAACTAAAAAGGCAAGTAGGATGGGTTTAATTCCTGTCGACCACATGTGGCAATTCCAAAAATGTCTTATTAACAAAGAATTCTTCCAAAAGCAAAAAAAACAGTAAAAAAGTAAATTATCATAAAAAAATTCCCTAAGAACTACGCTTGTAATCCATCAGTTGCAGCGTGGGGATTTGCATAATCAGCAAAAAATCTCAGGATAAAGTGCTAGAAGCTTCTTCATCGCGAGGATATTATGGAAGAGCAGCTTATTTTCGTAACCATAAAGTTTGGAGAATTCAATGTTTCACATAAATCAGCTAACTAGTTAAATAATATCGAATTAATCCGTGAAATGGATGCTACAAAATTAGAACTTCTACAAAATTAGTATTTTTAATAGCATTGTTTGGCCTATGTAAAGTATGTATCAGAAAAATCAAAAGTCGCCTTTCAATAGGTGTTTCCGAAATCCATGTTTTGCGGCTGATAGATAAAACGCATTTTCTTATTGAAATAATTCCGGACTGCAAGCTGGCCAATTTGCTAAAAATCTATATACAAAATTGGTGCGTTAAGTCAAATTAATTACAATGAAAAATGTTCAAAACCGTGGTTAAAATTGATCAAAGACCTGCTAACAGAAGCATTAGACTTTTCGAAATCCATGTTTTACGTTTAATAGGTAAAACATATTTTTATGAGAAAGTCGTTGGTCAGATCATTTGTGTTGTTACTAAAAAAATTGTAGAAAACTTTAAAAACGGTAAGAGTTTACTTTACCCCCCCCCACAGCCGAAGGGTCTCAAAGTTGTCGGTATTTTCGCTTATTTTGTCGGGATTTTCGCAACGCCATTCGATAGAGCGTCGAAAAATATACTAAGAGTTTTAATATGAGCCTACAATAATGTAAAATAAAAAAGTTATAGCCAAAACATTCCGGCTGGGGGTAAAGTAAACCGTAGCCTTAAAAACAATAAATATTATTGAAATAAAATCAATTCAAATTCCCCCTTAAATTCTAGGTACTGCGAGTGATCCGTATCATCAAGCTGGGCCGATTCTCGTCCGGGTTGCAGACGTTCGGCCTGACGTTGCAGCGCTCGCAAAAGCAGCTGCAAATGATGACGATCGTGCTATTGACCGGAGTCGTCTTCTTCTCGACGATGATCTACTTCCTCGAGAAGGACGAGGGCAAGTGGAATTTGGTTCTTTTTAAGCTTATTGACTATCTGGTATTAAAATTTGGTAATTGCCAAAACTAGAGGTGGAAAACCGTTTTCTAAAGGGACGGTGACAGGAAGATAAAAAGGCGCAGGAGCTTATTATATAAACAGCAAGAAGCGATGGGGAATACGATATTTTTGAAAAAAATGATGTAGACCTAGGCTTTTAAATTATTCAACTTACGCTCTGAACCCTAATTCCGCTAAATAATTATTTCTGATACTTCAATTTGCATGAAACATCTATTTTACCTATTGCAGAGAAAACCCCGTTCACGTCAATCCCCGCGGCCTACTGGTGGTGTATCGTGACGATGACTACGGTCGGGTATGGAGATGCCGTGCCAGCAACGACAAGTAAGATATGATGTTATAGTATAATAATTATAATAATATCTTTAAGCTATTTTAGAATTATATAGTAAAATAGGCCTTAAATTATAATTTCATATATCAAAACCGCACAAAATTAAATGAAACTCTGAAATTCATCTAGCGCGAAATGGATTTTAATTTTATTAAAATTATTTCTGTTTCAGTCTTTTTAAGGAAACTTGAAACATTATTTTTCACCGAACGACAGTGGCCAATTAAAAATCAAAGCAAATTATGATCTTTTTAAAAAAAGTTGACAGAACTTTTATACTAACAAAAATGGTTGATTCTAGATAATTTCAACTCACCATTGTGTTTCTGATTTCTCGGAATAGCCCTAGAAAATACGAAACATTTATCTCTCCGATAACACCCGAAAACGGTCTAATATTGTTCAAAAACGCGGTATCGTTTGCAATTATCGGAAAAGCAATAGTAGAATTTAGAGCAAAATTGAAACAGATGTTTCGTGCAAAATATTTTTGACTATAGAAGACGCCGAGAATTACCATTCGTTTTTATAAAAAAACTACTAAAAAATGCGAAACATTCGATTAGTTAAAAATATTATGTATTTTTTAGGGCTTCGAAAGCTAAATTATACTTTGTAGTATTGTAATATGTATTATAACCTAATGAAATCTACGTTTCTAGTGGGCAAAATCATCGCGTCGGCGGCGATTATGTGCGGTGTGCTGGTGCTGGCGCTACCCATCACCATCATCGTCGACAACTTTATCAAAGTGGCACAGGTTGGTGTTTTGTTTCATTTTGCTTATTTATGTTTTTTTATTAAATTTATTGCTTTAAAGCAAATTAGCCAAAATAATTTAAACATCGTCTTTGACAATTTCGATTTGTGAGAAAATGAAGGTTTCAGAAAAAATACGAGATAAGAAAATTTTTGTGGGATCTAGTATGAATGTGGCTCAAATTAAAATTCATTTCCTTGCTTAAAAACTGATGTTTTAAGTATTTACCAAAATCAAAAACTAAAGAAATATTTGTTAATTTATATGAAAATAAGGGACAAGAAAATTTATTTTATTTAGCACAAAATGCATCCTAATTTCCCCGCAGAAACTCACTAACCAAAATTGGGCGATTTCGAAGGGACCGGGAAGTCTTTTCGATTTCACCCAGATTGTTTTAAACCGCCCAGAATTTTCAAAGTATGTAATTTCCACAAAACTGCATAGGAAAACTAACCTTCCGGTCCCTTTAAACCCCTAAAACACAAATAAAATCCATGAATTAATCGAGTGCTTGCCTGAGTTCACCCCACCCTAATTTGCATAACCGAAAAAAATGCCTAATCGCAAGCTAAAAAAACTAAAAAAGCTACACTACGCTCCAAATGACACCTCCCGAACTAACCAAATTTAAATACCAAAAAAATTCCAGGACGAGGAGGCGCAATCGGAAGCGCATGCGGAAGGGGGCCCGCCCGGGCCGAACGGCTCGCAAAAGGCCATCCTCAACAACCATGGGGAATTATAATACATCAATACTACCGTATACCACCCCACTACCACGACGCGCCTTTCCTAACGACACTGTACGATGCTGTACGCGACTGTACGCGACTGTACGCACCTACTACTACGATTGTTAAAGTATGCTACGGATTACACCTTTTGACAGTCCCTTTTATATATTTTTTAAGTATACTACGGTACTTTTTAAGGGGTGGAAGTGCGATTTTTCGCGAAATTTCCGATCTTACTACACATTAAAAGCCAAATTTTGCTTCTGACTGTACAAAATTACGAAATATATTTTTTGTAAACCGTGTTAGATTCTGAAATTTAGCAGTTTCGATGTATAATTGATTTTTAAAGCACTATCGTTTTTTAGGGGGTTTTTTGAGAATAATCAATTAATTACGAAATTCCTTTGGCTATTCAGGGTTCCAGCTCGACCCAGATATATTTAAAACCTGAAACCCGGAATTTTTAGGCCGCTCTAAGGCACCAAATTAAATATGGAAAATGGGAAAGCGCATTTAACAAAATATATTATATGAATAAATGAAAAGAAAAACCTCACTTCCACCCCTTCCCTGATTTTCCACTCCAAATTTGACTTGCCCACTCTCCCAGCCACTCAGAGACGTTGCCTATACCGATCCTCTTACTTATCTATACTTACTGCTTCCCTACTTTTTTATCGCGTTTTATCAACGTAAATGCGATATTCCCAATTTCTTGTATTCATCGATTTTGGGCTGATTTCCGGATGTTCCCAACGCCGGATTAAAAAAAGTGTTTCGAAAAACTGCAAAAACGGAACCAATGACAATCGTTAATTCACGACAAGACTAATTGTAAGACCCAGTGTTTCTTTTGGAAAATTAAGAAATATTGTTTCACCAAATTTAAAAATCACAGGATTCTTGGGTTCTTAGTGATAAAAAAATGCCGAGAGTATTTTGCTGAGAAGGCAGTTTTTGAAAATCCGCCGAAATTTTCTCCCACGCACTCTCTCTCTTCTCTCTGTCTCTCTATCACCTTCTCGTCCCCCACTCTCTAGCCAATCGAGTCGATCCCCACCCCCACACAATTATTACGCGATTCTCCGAGCGAAACGGGTAGAAATTCCTTAATTTCTGGATTTTTATGTTTTTTAACATTGTCGTCACCCTCGCTTCCCGGTCCCTTTAAAATGCTAATATATGTTTTGTAGAATGCCATTACATTTTTAATACTGTAAATTTACATCTCCGGACTGCAAAACGCTCACACGTGATTTCACCCAAAGCCTGTACAATTCTTCCATATTTTAACGCCTAGATTTTTACAATCTACCGTCACTCCAGATTTCTATATTGTTTTATCACGTTAATTTTCTTATTAAATCCGACACATTTAACTTGTAATTTATGCAAATTCCCCCCTCGAAACCCCTGAGATTAACTACCGTAATTTGAGCCCCCGACTACGCGAGACACCGGTGAACGTTTGGATTATTTTGGATTTAATTTTTGTGTTTTTAAAAATTTTTTATTGAATTGTGCAAACATATTTTTATGATTATTATTATTATATACATTGTTTGTGTTTTTTGGAGAGCGCAAGAATAAACGAAGACTGAAAAAGTATCAATAATCTGATATCACCAATTCACGGCATTTTGAAACGTTTTGAAACATGTTCTTTCTCGTTTGTTTTATAATAGTTTGTATTAAATTTTTTTTTTTTATTTGATTTAGTGTGGTTTGCAGTGCCTAACAGAATTAATCAAAAAACCCAGCAAAACTTAGTTTTTTGAATACCTCGATTACCCCGTTAATTAACACTTCCGAAAATGGTCTGCAGTGCCCCTAACATTAAAACACACATTTTTTTATTGTTACTTTATTAGCTTCGTTTTTTTAATTTCTGTTTTATTTTAATTGGGTTGTTGGTTCAGTTTCCAATATGAGAGCTTTAATTTTTAGTTTCTTTTAATATTCATTAAAACATCAAATTTTTGCATTCATACCTTATAAATTTTACAATTTTATAGTTTAACTTTAATTTATCCTATTTTTAAAGATCGTATTTCATTAAAATTTTAGGACGAGCAAGCCGCCGAGCAGCAAAAAATGGAGAATGAGCACCAGGCCGAGGCGCTCAAGTCGATGCTCAAATGGAAGGAGGAGGCGGATAGAGAGGATTTGGAGAACTCAAAATAAGCTCGTGCTCAAGTTGGCATTGTCATTTATAATTTTTTCACTATTACTACGCTAATTTAGTTCGCCCCCAACTATATCATTTGCCCAAACGAGTGCCGTGAAAAGAAATATTTTTCAATATTTTTCGATTCTGAATATTTTTTTAAATCACTTATTTCCACGATCAGATAATGCCTTCCTTAATAATATATTATCTACCAGGTTTTTGGAATAATTATTTTTTTGGAGGTCCAGGCTATTTTTATGCTAATTTTGTGTGGTCGGCAGTTTTAAAGCGCTAGCGATTTTTAGAAAATTTTCAATAAATACTGTGTGCGGATTTTTGGATTTTAAAATACACAATATACAAAAGAAATATCGATAATTGAAGAAAAATACTGTATATCAATGGGTTAGAATTCTCACAGCACACGGCAAACCTTTGGAATGGATTGTCAAGGTAGCTTTTGAAAAATTTAATGTTCGAAATAAAAGATTACAAAAAATTCAACGAAGAATTTGATCAGAGACTACTTGCTTTTTTGAAACATGAAAGTTAACAGGCTAACAGGCCCCTGCACCGTCTGCTCTCTCTCTCTCTCTCTCTCTCTCTCTCCCTCCCTCTCTCTCTCTCCTCTCTCTCTCTCTCTCTCTCGCATGCGCACATAGGCTCTTGGCGTAGCGTACAAAATCGCCAAATCGCTAATTTTAAATTCACAATGAATTTTTGCGCTTTTTCGAACAAAAGGCAATGATCTCATTGTCTAATTTCAATTTTTCCAAAGACGGAATTTGTGCGAAACATTAGTTTTGGACAAAAATAGTGAATTTATGGACTCCTGTGTCTGTTTATTTTAATCACCACTAAAAGATATAATAAACAAACACTAATGAAGGAATCAAGATAAGTTTTTGCTAATCGAATTTTTAAAAAAAATCGCAACTTAACTGATTTGTTTGGTGAAATATAAATTAAATAAAACAAATAACAACATAAATTAAATACATAAATACGGTTCGATGAATTCCGTTGGCTCGAGCAGTCCGATTAATTAGAGAAAGAAATTTCGAAGTGGCCTATATTTTTGAAACCCTTTTTTACGATCAGTAGTGCTCTCTTAAATCTACACTAAAATCTGCATCGATAATGTTAATTTTCTCGGATCCTCGAAATTTTTGAGACACAAAATTTCAAAATTTTTATTTGAGTTTTCCCTTTCTGACAATCCATTCCATTCCAAACGTTGTTAGTTATTATCTAAAGCTACCAACCGGTGAAGGAGAGGCGCAGCTTGACGGTTTCGCCCTTGTCGAACAGCTGCGCAGACGCGTAGCGGTCGACGCGGTTTATCTTAAAAAATCGGGAGTAAAAAATTGTGTTGCAATGTTTTGTGTAAATTGTAGGTTTTTAGTTTCACCAATGTTCTTAGCACCGGCTTACACCGATCTGTTTTCCGAGGTTCTGGAGGAAACGTGAAGCGCGAATTATTATTTAGCTCAGTTGGTCCAGGATGGTTTTATGAATAATTTTCAAAAATGAATAGGTAGGCTTGCAGTGCTCCTGCTGGAATGTTTTTAGTCAAAAAATTAATATAGCAGAAATAACGAGAAACTAAATGCGATAACTTGAAAAATCCTCTGCAACTTTTTGGCGAATAAATCATGTTTCATAGTTTGACATGAAAAGCCAATTTTTTCGGAGTTATTGTGATTTGCTTTTCGGAGAACGGCATTGTTGATGCTATCCTTTCTCTTTGAAGGTTAAAATGGAGATTAAAGAGTATACAAAAAATAAGTGCAAAATTGCAATAATTAAATAAGGAAAAAACTACCTGTGGCGGCGAATCCATGCAGAGCTTGAAGCTGTGACTAGCTTCCCCGAGGGCGTTCTTCAGTTTGATCTAAAAATGCGAGTGATTTAGAATTTACCGCGTTTTAGAAAAATGTGTTACGTCTCTGCTTTTAAATATGTCGCAGGTTACCTCTGACAATTAATGTAGAAACGTCGAGTGAAACTTTCGAATTTTTTATTTATATATTTTTTCGTCCGTTTTTCTAATTTTACCAGGTAAATTAAATTCACTAAATGACTGATTGTGTTTAATGAAGACGATTAACTCCGATTTTTGCGTTTTTCGCAAAAGAAAAAAAATTGTGTGTAAAGAAAGTGTGTTTCCAAATTTTCAGTTCAAAAATCACGTTGATTTTTTGTAATTTTGACTTGTAATTTTTAATTTTTTTAATATTTTATTAATTAAAATTAGAAAAAAAATTAAAAAAATTTATTTAATATAAAATTTATTTGATTAAAGGGAGGAAAGTTGTTTAAAAAAAAAATAAAAAAAAAAAAAAAAAAAAATTAGTCGTCACTCTTCCTAAACAGGAAGCGTATCTTAAATTCTATAACCTCAATATCTTTTATAAAATATGTATTTTTTGCGCTTAAAAAATACCTAGTTTTTTTGTGTAATATGATCGTACATACCATAATCTCTCCCTCGTCGTCCTCCCGCATTTCTCCGATGGACAGCGATGACGTGCCGGGGGCCGTCTCGATCCATTGGCGCTTGCCGGAGAAGATTTCCTGAAATCAGAACGTAGTTTCAAAAGCGAAAGAAACTGAATTAAAAACATGTTTAAATGAATTTTCAGTTTTGGTTGGTTTTGAATATTAGCCATTGAACGCTGTCTATCGATGGAAAGAGATTTTAGTCTGAAAAAAATATGTTTCCTCGAATTTTTGGGTGTCGTAAATTCTGAACGCGTTTAAAAGGCATTCAGCGTTCCTGTAATTTTTCGATCCAGATATTCGCGCTGTTTTTTCTCCTTAAAAAGGTTCTCCTGTTTGAAAAATGTGTTTCATCGAATTCTTAAGTTTCGCTATTTTCAGAAGCGCTAATCACCAAAACCGTTTATTCTAAACAAAAACCGATCTAAAATGCCTGCATTAAATTATAAAATTCTTCGGACTACAGGAATCCCCCCCGGCCCCGATAATGCAAAGCACCGCCTTCTGGCTTCTACGGTCCTTTAAAACACGCAAAAATCGGCGTACCTTCTTATTCTTGTACCAATGGACTTCGGTTGGGGCTGGCCGCGATATTCGACGACCATCTTCACCTTGCCCTTCTCCTTTGCCACCACGAGGTCTTCTGGCTTGGTGGTGAACTCGGGCTTGGCTTCGACTAAACGAAAATATTAGTACGTTTCAAATTTTTCAAGGCCTGGTGAGTGCCGAACGCAACGAAAGGGTGCGACAAGACGGAGGAGAAGACTAGCGAGTTCAAAAACAGTTTATTGGATTTTTTAACGAATTTATATTTTTATTTAATTGGAGCTGAAATCGCTCTTAAATTCTATAATTTAATTAGTAGAATTTGCGACTATTTTATTAATATGTTAAATTCGCACCAAAACGTCTGTCTATTAGCCAAGAAAATTCTGTTACCACCCTGATCTACCTTGAAGCATTGTTTTTGACCTCCAGATTTGTTACTTTCAATTTAGGTATCGATATTATTATTTTAAAACATTTCATGTATTTAGAAGGAGATGAATTTTATGGCATTATGAATTCGTCAGGTTTACCTAAAAATTGGCCTTTCGTCGAAACATCGAATTTCAAATGCTTGCTATCAAACCTTTAGGGTTAATGAACGAAAGGAATCCTAACGCCCCAAGGTATCTAGCATGTCTAAAATGCCAAAATCCTTAAATACTTACAAAAATCATTATTAAAGGGATGCCGACGGCATATTCAATCGGTTACGCGCGGAAAAGAAAATGTCTCTGCGCCTCTCCCCTGGGCGCGCTCTCTCCCCTGTTGGCTACTTGCCAATTTGTTGATGAGGGGGGATCGACATATGCCGTCGGCAGCCCTTTAAAAAATTTTTTGAAGGAGACGTACGAAGATTACACTTGCCGCGTACTAGGCTTGTCGATGCGCATTAAAAATTAAATGACACTGTGGCATTATCGCGGGAGGGGACGACTTTTTCCAGAGAATCCAATTTGCATGAATACAATTGGAAGAAATGTTTCTAAACCGCTTTTTTTTGCTATTCCTTAACGCAAAAAAAACTTTGAAAATGTTACCGAAAAAAAAAAAAAACGGATGGGACGCCGAGAAGAGCTAAGGCGCCGAATTCGACCAGCGGTTTGGATTTTTTCGAAACATCTTTTAATTTTCCAATATTTTTTTATCGATTTGCTTTTGATTTCCTATTGAATAAATCTCTAAAATTACGTTGTCGCTTCGTGTTTTTATAATACCAAGTTTAATGTGCTCCACGAACAACATAAAAATCACGCAAAATGTGCAGAAAGGTGAGTGCCATTAATGACCTAAAGCAACTAAAATCAATTTTTCAGGTGCAGCACACTTTCTAGTTAAAACACATTTTTTCACTCCGGCAAGTACCTCCAGCACCCTCGTCGGGCTTGGCGGCCGATTTCTCGGCCGCCTCCTCCTCGACCTTCTTGGTCTCCTCCGCCTTTTCCTTATCTTCTAAAAATGTTGTGAATTTTATTAACTAATTTATACTGATTTGCGTTACGACAATTATAGTTTGGTCCGCATTATTATTAATTTGGATCAGGTTTCAGTGGATAAAACCATTTTCTTTATTTGTAGGGTACGAAACATGCTTTCGAAACCGGTTTTTTAAAGAATCTTAAAGGAATTTAAGGAACTTTACAGAGTTTACTTCAATTGGGAAAAACGGAAATGTTTTTTATAAGTTTTTACTTGAAACATGTTTTCAAAACCGAGTTCTATTTACCATTTACTTATTTTACTTTACAATCATGAGCTATAGCCAGACATATCGTCTAAAAATTGCCTCAGTTAAATGCCTACACCTATTTTATACATATTACAATGACATTACAAGCAGCAGAATTTAATTTTCATTAGACTAGCTGTTTTTGATCTTTGGGCCGGTGAAAATTACCAAAATCACCGCATCACTTTCTATTATTTTTAAGTGAAACAGCTTTTTTCCATCCCTTGATTTTAGGATCTTTGAGCAGCCTCAAATTTAATTGAAAAACTTGAAATCATTTTACTTAAATTATTTTCGAAATATATTCCCAAACCGAGCTGTATTTAATTTTAAGGCAACAAACTATAGAATTTTTAATGGAAAGATGAATTTGTAGAAAAACGTCGAGCAGATCGCAAAATAGTTCTTCGTATGATTTGTTTCGGGATAGAGGCTAGCGGTCGAATTAACGGTACGATAGTTTCACTCGTTTTGAAATTTTTTGAAGCACTAAAATTTAATTTCGGCATTTATTCTCTGATTTTCTTGGTCACAATTTATCGTAGTTTTTAGGCAAATCCTTTTAAAGGTGCCAGGAAGCCAAATGCACCCACCTTTCCGGTCTTCACATTTCACCGGGTCCGATGGCTCGGAGGCGGGTCCGGTGCCCGAGGCGTTTGCGTACGACACGCGGAATTGGTATTCGATGTCTGAAATGCAAGAGTAGTAAATCTCATATTATGATATTAATATCAAATATTAATACTACTATGTTTAATGAAAAGCTAGCAATTCTGAAGCTCAAACGGCAAGAATTTCATACTTTTTAAAAAACACTACGGACTCTTGATCAACATGGGATTAGTTGCATAGCAAGTATTTTTATTTTGGGAAAGAAGAGACACACGTTTTTAGTTATTCATGGAAACGCGAAAAATGTCGAGATCTCAAAAGGGTGAATTTTGCTGAATTTCTAAACTTTACAGGAAAGGGGCCTTAAGTGCATTATTAATTGCTTCAAATGGCGCAAGATTTGAAAATTTTTGAAACATTTTCCATATTTTTGCATAGAGGCAAACTTGCTAACTAAGCTGCACTGATGTAATTGGCTTTGGAATTACCTAAATGACCATGCTCCGATTTTTACAAGACTTTGAAACCCGTTTTCAAAATAATATTTTTCGATATTTTCGAGCTTTTCGATGGTATTCAAGGCTTGATGGAACGTTTTCATGTCATTTTGTCATTTTCAGTAAATTCAGTAATCCAGTAATAAAAAAAAATAATTTAACGTAATTTCGGTAAATAAAAGTAATTTCAGTGCTTTAAAAATAAGAATAAATACCTTTCTTCAACCCCCTCGGCCGTGTAGGTGGTGCCAGTGATCTTGTCCTTGGTCACCGATTGCCACGAGCGCTTGGATTTGAGCTGAAAAATCGTGTCAAAATGTATGTTACACTAAAAAGTATTAAAGATCCGTCCATTGCTTTTTTAATGCAAGCAGTATCATGTAGCATGTATCTACCATCGACCTAAACAGCAAATCGATGTAACTATACCAGTTTTTGCGGAAATGTTTCACGCGTTGGTAATATTAAGTTTCGCTAAATGCGATTAATAGTACGATTCTGTTGCTCGGCGATTTATGATCATTCAGATCACACTAATTTTTAAGAAACAACTCACAAAAGGAAAGAAAAAAACGCTAAAATTTATACACCTACTATTAAAAAAATGTATTTAAAACCAAGCAAGCATGTTTGCTTTTTAAATAATAGCGTTCCATGGTGTTTTTTTGGCAGGAAAATGTTTCCAGGTTTTACCCAGGTGTGGCGCGATCTACCAGTAGATGACCTTAGCCTGGGAATCGCATTAAAATGTGTTTATTAGATTTCGGTCTGAGGTCCTAAGCTTACTAAGCCAAGCTTAAGCCGAAGGCTAAGCCTAAACTACGCCCAAGCCTAGGCCTGATCTAAGCCGAAGCTAAGCCTAAGCCTAAGCCTAAGCCAAGTCTAATCCAAGCCTAAGCCAAGCCTAAGCCAAGCCTAAGCCAAGCCTAGGCCAAGCCTAAGCCAAGCCTAAGCCAAGCCTAAGCCAAACCTAAGCCAAGCCTAAGCCAAGCCTAAGCCAAGCATAAGCCAAGCATAAGCCAAGCCTAAGCCAAACCTAAGCCAAGCCTAAGCCAAGCCCAAGACTAAAGCTAACTAGGCCTAGAGCCCGAGGCCCATGCCCCTAAAACAGCCTCCTTGTACTCAGGCCTGTGCACGGCTGGCGATTCCGCAGCTTTCCACGCAACGGTAGCCGTGTTTTGGGTGACATCGGTTACGGCAGGTTTTTCCGGGGCTGGCAGCGGTTTGTCTAAATTTAGTGAGATTTTAGAACTCTTCCAGAACTGGAAAACTATATTTCATGCGACAGAAAAAAATTAAAAATGACAGGTACGCTACGATACGCTACAGTACACCACTTACCCTCCTCCGCCTTCTTCGCCCCCGGTGCTAAAATTATGTTAATTATTTAGGTTTGAGTTTTGATTTAATTGCCTTTGGTTTTTTAATTGCTTTCAGACATTTTTCTACCAATATTCGCACTATTCACACTTACGATTCTTGCCTCCAGCGCCTCAATTTTGCGATATTACTTTATTCTCCAGCTTTTTGTACATTAAGAAATTTTTTTAGGTTCCTTAAAGTCCATACCAAAATTCAATAACTTTGCGTGTTGTAAGCAAAAATAACAAATTATAGCGATTTTCGTGGTCTAAGCTTTTCATCATTTTTTGAAAAATTTTGACATTTTTCCTGCTTCGAGCTGCCCATTGGAAAGCAGACCGTTTCGGGAACCAATGGGTTTAAAAAACATCTATTTTTAATGTGGCTATTTTTCAGAGTAAATTAAATAAATGCATGGATAGACCATGTCGAAATTGGTCAGCAAGATTTTTTGAGAAACCAATAATTTTTATGGAACACATATTTTTCAATTACCGAACCATTAGCGAACAGCTTGTAGAAATATTACGAAATGGGGTTTTCTTTTCAGATTTCATTCTAAACGCCGCGATTTTCTATTATTTTTATTGCGATTTTATTTCTTCTATTTTAACTGATTTAGGTTTTTTTGCTCTTGTTCGGCCAGGTATGTTTAACCGCGGCAATTCAAGGATTAGCGGGAAAGGTCTTAGCGGAACCATTAACTTCTTTGAAACATATTATCTGTTTTGCTAGCTGAGTATCACTTACCTAGGACCAGGGTTGAAAAGCCGCTTCGCTTTTCGACCAGGCCGTCAATCTAATGATGTTCATTATTTGCATGGTATTTTATCAGTTCCGATGACAAAATAAACGCTCCCTTTGAGGCCTTTACTTATATTTACAGCGACTTCCGGCATATGCTAATTTTATCCCTAACAGGGGTGGCGAATTTTACGAAAAAATAATTTTAATGTCAGAAACAGCATATTTTACAAAATCTGAAGTATTAGTGATCATCTCAGCTATTGCAGTAACGAACGTATCAAACACCCTCCTCGAAGCCATCTCCTCTCCGAGATATCCTCTGGACACGATGACGGAAGTTGCATGCAAAGTGGCACACACACACACACGACATATTTTTTTATATAGTAGGACCCAATGTAAAGACGGGAATTTTTAATTTTTGTTAATAAATATGATTTTTAATCGTTAAATTACATCCCAATATTCAAAAGATTTTTAGGTTTTATTAATCTTTTCGCTTTTTGAAATTTTTGAGGCTGTGTGACCACCTACTAACCATCATAACATTTTCGGCAACCAGTAAATTTTTGGAAACACATAGTTTTAGAATTGCCATACCATTAACGGCCAGCTTGATCTTGACGACCGTCTCGCCGGTCTTGTTCTTCGCCAGCAGCACGTACGTGCCCGCCGAGTCGGCTTGGCAGTTCTTGGTGGTCAGCGTGGCCAGGCCGTCCTGAAAATGGAGGTTTTGAATTCGATGAATTTTATCTCGGATGAAAAAAAGATCAAACGATTGGTCATTTTCGCGGTTTCATAAGGGGCATAGTTAAAACATTCTTTTGTATCGTTTTATTTTTTATAATTGTCCGCTTAAAAAAGGTTTCATTACAATACAATGCCCCCGCGTAATTACGAGCGATAATAAATTGTCTTTTTTATGATGAACCGTGCAAAGCCAATCCATGGATTTTCGCAAATAGGCAGTCTTTAAAAATTTGCGGTATTTGCGCGCTGTATTAATTTCGAAAGTTAATCTATTTTCACCAATTGCCTTAAAATGATTTAAAAAATAAGAATAAAGATGTTTCATAACCACTTAATCATATTTTACCATGACGCCGCGATTACTTCTTGTTAATTGCGCCCGGATTTCAAAAGGATCCATTAACCTTGTTAACCGAGAAAGTATGGCTTTTTACTTATTAAAGCGCGCTGACAAAGCATGCTATAGATTTTCGCTGGAACGGATTTTTACCAGTTTACCGTTTTGCCTCATTTTTTCAAAAATTTGAGATTTAAAAAAGGGTTTCATAAAAACGCAATGTTGCCGAAGAAGTGCTCGAGGAATGGGATCCTTAGGCTGATTGTTATTTGGCATTAAAGCGCACGTTCAGGGAGGACGTGTACACCCTATGGACGTTAGGACCGCGCGCACTGCCTGCCGGTGCTGTGACAGGCCATTCCCCTCCTTTGCGGCGTGGGGCGCCCCTAACCCCCTCGCCAGGTTGTAGCTGTGGCTGACTGGTATCCATCCGCGCCTCCCGAGCGTGGGGCCCGGTTCACCCCCGGCCGCGGCAAAATCTTGCTTTTTCCAAAAAAAACGTCCCCCCAACGTGCCCTTTATGTTTTTATCAAACGAGTTTTTAACCACACAAACAAAAATATTTTAAACCGAGGGAATCCTGATAACTCGCGCATAACCCTTATTTCATTCCCTTTTCGAAATCCAAAAAAAATCCAATCTTTTCGCAAAGCCTAAGAACGTTTCAGAAACATAAGGCCGTTTGAAAATTTGAATGGAGAATTGTATGTTGATTGCCTGTGGAACCTCTTTAGTCTTCAACGGGCTAATTAGTCCTAAACCCACTTTTCCTTCATGGAATGCTTCGAATCTGCTTTCAGGGCCTTTCCATCCTTGGTCCAGGTGCAAATTGGCGGTGGGTGGCCAGAGATATTTGCATAGAGTTGCACGGATTCTCCGGCATTCACTTCGACCTCACTCTCTTCTACCGTAACCTTCGGCTTTTCTGAAACAAAAAAAATTAGATCCTAAATGATCTCTGCTAGCCTGCCCCCTACCCCTCTCTCTCATCCCAAATGATCTCTGCTAGCCTGACCCTCCCCCTCTCTCTCATCCCAATGACCTCTGCTAGCCTGCCCCCTCCCCCTCTCTCTCATCCCAAATGATCTCTGCTAGCCTGCCCCTCCCCTCTCTCTCTCTCATCCCAAATGATCTCTGCTAGCCTGCCCCTCCCTCCCTCTCTAATCCCAAATGATCTCTGCTAGCCTGCCCCTCCCCCTCTCTCTAATCCCAAATGATCTCTGCTGGCCTGCCTCCTTCCACTTACCATTGACGGTCACTTCAAAATCAACAGTCGCCGTGTGGCCGTCCTTCGATTTCACCTTGCAGACATAGGTACCTCCGGTGGTGGCGATGGCCTTAAAGGCATTGAGTTTTAAGGTAATCGTGGAATTTCATGTCATAATCTGTTCGGGCTAACGCGCATTACAGAGACTGACAAGGCATGACTATGGATTTGCTGGTTCCTCTATCCCTAAGGAATTCGCCGGGTCCGCCGCGACGAGGGACGCGCATGTCCCTTGGATGTAAAAACACCGTAGTAGTCGTAGTAATTGATTACGCAATTGTGTTGCGTGTCGCGGTGCAGAAAAGTGATGACGAGATGCGAAAAACGGCAGATCATGAATTACCTGTTTTTTAAAGAGCTAAAGAAAGCCGCATATCAATAGTTTAGCTTAGAATTTTGGATATAAGAAATTTTCAAACACATTTTTTCCAAGGGGAAAATTAGTTTTCTAACCCGTTTTGGGTAGGGACTTTACAAAATTATTTTTAACAAGAAATGGGTTGATGATTTTCAAGAAATGGGTGTTATAAACTGATGTGTGCGTCCGGAAACTTTGAAACACAATTTTTCATATCAGAAATGTTTTAAAGCTAGTTTTTGGGCAATAGAGATCTAGAACATTTTTCAACGAAACGGCCGATTTTCAGCTTACCCGGAACTTCAGACGGCAGTAGTTCTTCTCATTTGTCGTGGTGTAGGACGCGTCAAGCTTCTGTCCATCCCTGGTCCATTCGGCTTCAACGTCCTCCTCATTCACCTCAACGACCAGCTCGGCCTCGGCTCCGTCTTCGAAGCTCAGCGAGCGTTTGGATACCTTAGAGATGCATTATTGTAGTATATTATCTGCATTTTATTTTTCGGGAGCGATGGCCCGATGAAACTAAAAATAAATTTCCTGGCGCAGGATCCTTAGCGGGGGGCGGGGGGAGAGGCGCTTGGAGGCTCAACGTCGACAAAAATGCTTCAGAATTTTTAAGGGTCTCAATTTTATTTCTGGCACAGTAATGCGCCGCTTTTCCGTGCGCTTTGTTGTTCTGACCAAACATAGTAATTCTTAAGGTTCTTTTATTTCACCAAAAAATCGCTACAGAAATGTTTCGCCATTTTTTGGGCTTGTCCAAAATTAGTGTTGCTTAATTGAGCAGCTGGCTGTTATTTTTAATAACCCCAAGGATCCCCGACAAAAAAGACATACATTACGTAAGAGGTCTGTCTGTGTTTAACCGACCCTATTGCAACCCCTAAATGGGACCAACAGACTTGTAATAACCAAAAAATGTTTCAAGTTATCTTTAAAATTTGTGTTTTGGAACTGCGACAATCCAGAATCTTCACGTGCCATCTACTATTTAAACCAGGCCAAAAATTGCAAAAATGGGTTCTCAAAATCGGGAGTGTTAAAAATCAACTAAAAAAGATATTTCATCGAATCTAGACGGTTTTTTGACCAAAACTTCGAACATTTCCAGTGAGTTTTCTGCTGGATTTTGTTTAGCATGGGGCGATAAGCATTATACAAATACTTACTGGCATGCCCAGACGTATACAAAAATTCGAACCCCCCTCCCCCGATAATGCAGCTCCGAAAATTTGATAGCGGCAGCAGGAAATTGGAAAAATGTTTCAGCTATTATATAGATGACGAGGAATACTGTTTTGATAATAAGGCCCATGGATAGATGCATTATAAACCACCCACCTTGGCATCCAGCTTCTTGGCCTTCTTCTTCTTTTTCTTGTCCTCATCTTCCGTCTTCTCTCCAGATTCCGCCTGCGACACTTCCGACTCGGCCTTCTTCGTCTTCTTCTTCAGCTTCTTGGCTTCTTCTCCTTCTTCCGACAGCTTCGATTCAACTTCTGAAGTCACCGACTCAGCCGTGCCAGCTTCCGAAGCGGTTCCGGCTTCATCCTGAGAATCCCTCTTCTTCTTGTCAACAGGCTTCAACGCCTCCTTCTGCTTCGTCAATTGTTCATCTTCATGCTGGTCCTTCTTCTTCGACTTATCGGCCTTCTTCTTCGCAGCTTGTTCAGCTTCGGCTTGTTTGGCTTCCTCGGCTTTTTTGGCTTCGGCCTCCTTCTTGGACTTCTCCGCCTCTTTTTTGGCCTCGGCCTCCTTCTTCTTGGCCTGCTCAGCTTCAGCCTTCTTCTTCTCTTCCTCGACCTTCTTGGCGTCGTCGGCCTCCTTCTTGGCCTTGGCTTCGGATTTCTTAGCTTCCTCAGCTTTCTTGGCTTCAGCCTCCTTCTTGGTCTTCTCGGCCTCAGCTTTCTTAGCTTCGGTTTTCTTGGCTTCCTCCTCCTTCTTCTTCGCTTGTTCAGCTTCAGCCTTGGCTTGCTTCTCGGCCTCCTTCTTCGCTTCCGCTTGAGCCTGAGATTGAGCCTTCTCTTCCTCCTTCTTCTTCTCCTCGGTCTGCTTCTTTGCCTCCGCTTCCTGCTTGGCCTTGACCTCCTTGGACTTCTCGACGTCAGCCTCTTGTTTGGCTGGCTTGGTTTCAGCTTGCTTAGCCTCAGCCTCCTTGGCCTCAACTTGAGCCTGAGCTTGAGCTTCAGGCTTTCCAACCTCGCTCTTCTTCTTCTTGACCACCTTCTTCTTGGCCTTGGCGGCGTCGGCGGCTTCGGCATCTTCAGCCGCAGCTCGAGCTTGAGCTTCGGCCTCGGCTTGCTTAGCTTGCTTGGCTTCAACTTCAGCTTCAGCTTCCTTCTTGGCCTTCTCCTCCTTTTTGGCGGTCTTGGAGTCGGCCTCCTTCTTCTCGGCTTGCTCAGCCTTAGCGTCAACCTTTGGTTTGGCCAGGCAGCTTCCAGAAGCTCCCGAAGCTTCGGAAACTTCAGAAACTTCGAAATCTCCTCACTCGCCAGGCTCATATCCTCGGTCTTCTTCTTCTTCACCACCTTCTTGGCTTTCTTCTTGGCATCTCCGTCAGCGACGGTGACTTCAACAAGTTCGGATGGCTTGGCAGCTGCTTCTTCAGCCTGTGCAGCTTCAGCAGCTTGGTCTTCTCCATCTTCTTGCTTTTCTTTCTTCTTCAATCGTCTCTTCTTTCCGGATTCTTCTTCTTCAACTCCAGCTGCTTGACCTTCTTGAAGTCGTCGGCTTCTTCTCGAGCAGCTTCAGCTTCCGGCTTCACGGACCAGGTCGGCTTCTCTTCTTGAACTTTTTCAACGCGTACAGACACTGAGGAGTCGCTGGGCGGGGAGATGGTAGAATCGCCAAGGGCCACAATTCTGTAGACGAAGTCGTCATCGTCAGAAATTGTGCGATCCGTGTAGTTCAAGCGGTCCGTAGTGGCAAGCTCAATCCACGCTCCCCGTTCCGGCCGGTTTCCGCTCGATACGGTAGAATTGGGCTGCGGGGACGGCCGACCAGCTCAGATGCACCTGAAAAATTCAGTTTCGCACAAAAATTTTATTTTAAAAAAATAGAATGTGTTGAAAAAGCTTTAGCTCAATTTGCCACCATTTTGGAGAATCGCGTATCGGTAAGACGTTACATTTTGAACATTTTGAACGTACGTTCAATAGTTCTTATTACATTTTTAAAACTTGCGAAATTTAGAGTCTTGGGAACTGTTTGCAATGCAATTAAAATTTTGTATGTTTCACTTTTTAAATTTAATATTTTACTAAAGACTTGGCATAATTTAGGTACCATCTGGACATTTGCATCAATCGTTCCGTCGAAATAACGTATAAAGAAAGTATACAACGAAAAATCACTGAAAATTAATTAAAGATTTAAGCAAGGGCAGTCGCCCAAAAAGATATGATCTATTTGCCATGAATCTTAGCAAATAATGTTTCAATCGAGACTGAGCCCAATTTGCCAGCACTATGGAAACTGACAATTCCATTTCCACCCCTATATTTTTTAAATCTTTTGCGATCTGAAAGGTAGCACAACTGTTAATTTTTTTTTGAAAAATATGTTTGAGAGTACAATTAAAAATTTTAACAAGCAGTGATCAACCTGAAAAACACTTCGAAAGAGAGTCCAAACTTAACTTTTTAATTAAAAAAAAACAATTTCTTTGAATTTAGCGTCTCAATAAAGACCCAGGATAATCTTAGTAATATTTGAACGCTTGCATTCGCTCGTTTCGCACCAATCATGTGCAAAAAATGTAGGCTCCGAATATTTTTGAGATACGGATTTTTCGTGTTATGATCCTAAATTTAATGTTTCAAGAAAGCTTTAGCCTGCTTTGACTCCACTTCAGACACTGATTGTAGGTGTCATTTCCTTTTCAAAACGTTTTTAAAACTGGCAAAACAAGGGATTTTTTTCGAAAACTGTTCAAATTCACTTTTAAAAGTTAAACGGCGAGGTTTTAGGTTTTAAATTTAGGGACGTGAGCTTGATCTATATTTTTTGTAGTTGTTTTAGTATTAAATTGGTGTTTTTCAAGAGGGGCCTAACCGGTTTTGCACCAATCCATATAGTCAGGCCCGTTCCTACGCGGAAAAATAAAATTTTTATGAAAGTTTGCGGGGTAGTTTTCAGGTCAGATTCAATTTGATTTAATATACATTTTTATGATTCTGATAATTTTCCAAGAAATAAAATGGCCCAAACCAGGCTACCTAGAAACAAATCAAAACATTGCATTTTTCCAAAAATGATGTTTTAATTAACTTTTAGGCCGATTTTACGATTATTTCGGTACTTACTTTCTGTTCATGATCACCACGTCTAGGAATCAGGGAAGATCCACCCTCCTCGTCGTGATCTCTGTTATTTTGCCCCTCCCTCTCTCGTCCCGAGTGGTCTCGCTGTGCGCCCCTTCCTCTCTCGCGTTCCCAGTGAGTCTCTGCTAGCCTGCCCCTCCCCTCTCTCTCGTCCCAGAGCTGGTCTCTGCTGTCCCGCCCCTCCCCCTCTCTCTCTCGTCCCAGGTGATGTCCTCTGCTAGCCTGGCCTCCCCTCTCTCTCGTCCCAAATGATCTCTGCTTACCTCCCCCTCTCGCCCGCCCGACTCCCAGTGTCCCTCCCACCGCCCCCCCCCTCTCTCATCGCCAAATGATCTCGGCTAGCCTGCCCCTCCCCCTCTCTCTCATCCCAAATGATCTCTGCTAGGATGATCATGCTCAAATCCTAAATTTTCTCGTCAACGAAGCTCATGCTCAAATCCTATTCTTTGCTAGCTTACCTTGGCGCCATCGACTTCAACATATGGTGCATTTGGAGTACCAAGTTCTTGAGTGGGAGCAACGACAGTATCCCTCTCATCTCCTTCTTCTTCAGCCTCATCGTCAAGTGAATAGACATCCAGATGTTTCGAAGGTTGCCCAGTGCCGACGTCATTTACAGCAAGTACACGATATGTGTACAGCTCATTCGAGAAAAGATCGAGATCCTCGAACGTCAAATGGTGAGGCCGAGCTTCTCTCGGCCTACGTTTCTCCACACCAATTTGTCTTGCTCCACCTGGAAAAGTGTTATTACTTGGCACTTTTGCATTATCGGAGAGAGCAATTTTTCGAA